CCTCCACCTCCTGTAGCTCTGGGATACGGGACTGTAGGTGTCCTTGTTCCCAATCGATGTCCGGGTTAGTCTTCTTAAGCCAAGGCAGGCCCAGAATGACGCTTTCTCCGCCTAGATCGGTGACTAAGAAATCCGTCCAGGCTTCTTGATCATCGACTGTGAGGCGTAGTCGGGCAAAGTGCGAGATATTGCCTGCTCGGTTCGGAGAGCCATCAATGTTAGTGATGCGTATGGGGGAGCGGAGAGGGAAAGTGGAGATTTTGTGTTGGTCAACGAAGAGCTGATCAAGAAATAGCGCTGTTGCGCCTGAGTCGACCATTGCCACGGTCTCCATACTTCTATTGCGTCCTTGTAGTTGTACCGGGATCCGGAAATGCGATGACAACGGGTCTATAGATTTCACGGTTCTTATAGTACATGCTCGAATCGAATCACATAACGAGGTGGACAACATAGAGTATGGAGACGGGGGTGCTTCTGCTGCGGCAGTAACAGGCACCCGCTTTAAAAACCCGGGCGGAGATGGTCGAGGAGGGCTTGCTGCTCAGCCAGGATCCTCTCGAGGTCTGCGATTTGGGTGGTGTTCTGGTCGACGACGGGGACGGAGGCCGCAACAGTGGCGGTCGGGGGCTCTGCGAAGAGGGAGAACGGGGCGGAGTCTTGCCTGCTGGCTGCGACGCGCTGTCGGCCTTGCCCGCGGCTGAGCTGACCTCGGTTACGCTCCCGGCCGAGGTACTTGTCCTCGCAAACCGTCTCCTTGTGCCCCGTGCGACTGCAATAGCCGCAACGGTCGGTCTGGTGGTTCCCGTCTCGCTTCAGGTGCTCCTTGGACCCGCAGCCGAAGCAGCGGCCGGTCATGGCGCGCTGGAACTCCTCTCGGGTCTTCCTGTTTCCCGTGCGCGTAGCGTCAACCTCCATAGCGTAGGGGTCGGCCGCGGGGCGAGGGGCGGCCTGGGGCGTGTTGCCATAGCGGCGCGAGGTGTAGCCTCCTGTCTCCACGCGGAGTTCATCGAGCAAGTCCTGGGCTTTGCACGCTCGTTTGACCAGCGTGTTGAGGTCAGTTGGCTTGCCATGCGCAAGCTCAACTGGTAGCAGCTGGGTCTTGATGGCGTTGGAGAGTCGCGCGTAGAAGCGGACACGGAGGTCGGCGTCGGAGTAGCCGGTGCGGGAGGCCAGGTCTTGGAACCGGGCCGCATAGTCTGCCACCCCAAGGGTGCCCTGGGACAGCTTGTCTAGGGCATGTCGTGCCTCCGCTTCCTCGTCTTGGGCCTGCCAGCGGACCTTGTAGTTGTCTACAAAGGTGGTCCACGACTCGGAGAAGGGGAAGGCAGGTGCGTTGACTCCTCCGGCCTCATGAGACGCAATGTCTTCTACGTAGCGACGGCCCCAGGTGGCGGCGTCTCCCTCAATCAGGGAGAGGGCGGCCTTGATCCAAAGGCGGTCTTGGCGTACGCCCGCGAGGTTGAGAGGGCGGCCCTGTTCCTTTGCCCAGATCTGGAAGTATGCTAGGAAGCGGCGGGCATCGCTGCGTTCTCCCTTGAAGGCTGTGGGCTTGGCAATGGCCTTGGTCTCCGCGTTGACGGTCTGGACCGCCGGTGCCTGTTGTTGACCCTGGGCTTGGGTCTGGGCCCGCATCGCCTGGGTTTGGGCTTGCATCGCCGTTAGCAGCTGATTCAGAGTGGTGCCCAAAGTGGCCTGGTTGGCGACCAGCTGTGCGAGTTGGGCTTCCATGGGGTTTGACGGAGGCTGGGGTGTGGGTGGAGTGGTTGTGGTGGGGATAACCGGTGGTGCGGAGTTTGGGCGGAGTGAGGGGGACGGGAGCCTGGTGGGGGGTTGCGTACAAGTGCGACCTACGCGACTGCCAAAGGGGGTAACAGGCTGTAGGGTGGGGGCTAGAGTGGGAGAGGACGGCGGTGTCCGATAGCGGGAGCGTGCGGTGGGTTGTGGTCGGCGGAGGATAGAGAGGAACGAGGGGATGATGACGTCGAAGTCCCACTCTCGCGTTCTCGTCTACCGGTCATTCGTCCTGTTCGTCGACTTGGATTCCGTGGAGGGGGAAGTCGCGCGCGTTGGGGCAAGGGTTATCGTCGCACTCTTCAAAACTGTCGTTATCGAGGGATACGTGTGTTCGATAGACTAAAGAGAAGCCGTGTGGGCGGCCTGTACAGTCGGCGGTGTTGGCTGAGAAGCGGGGCGTGGTGGCTGTAGGCTCTTGCCGGGGTACTGGAGCTGAGGGAACTTCGCGGTGCTAGTGCTCGCGTCAAGTCTCTACGTAGAGGGTGGAGTGCGTGTGGGAGAAGGCGTAGATGAAGATGGCGGCGTAGGCGACGACGGCGAAGGCAACGAGCGCAAGAGCGAGACTGAGGTCGACGGACAGGATGATGATGGGCTCCAGCAAGTACGCTGCTGGAATGCGACAATTACTGGTCTGTGTGACGGTCCTGCAGGGGCGACTGGAGCTGAGGGTTGTCGGTGCAGTAGTAGATCTCGACCTAATGTGGCGGAGACAATGGTGACGGCGGAGCGGAGGAGCTTAACGACGCTAGAGCAGCGGACTCAGAGCGGCGACAGAATACGGAGGATCCCAAAGACTAGTCCCAATGACAAAGATTAGATTGGTGTATCTACAGGTACATCAGGGGATGAATACGCACCTAGTCCCAATGACAAAGAGGTCGAGATGGGGACTAGGGATGAAGGTACAAGGTTTATATAGTAAATCCTGGGCAGTGTCCATAACAATGCCAAACAAATGAGT